ACATAGATTAATTGAAAAGGTTATAACAACAACATTTGGTAAATGAGTACTTACCGGTTGAAATTCATCATAATAAATTCCCTTTTCTTGGAATCACTCGTCCATTTTTTCGCGAAAGCGGACGGAGATTCGGCGGGTTTTGAAGGAAAAGCCAAAAAAATGTTTTCTGATGGCAGATCCGACTTAGCCGCAACCAACAGACCACTATTTCTTAGGCTTTTGGGAGGGGAGGGGGATGGATAGAGAGATAATTTTAGAGAGAGATAGGAGAATGGGTTGTGGTGTGAAAAAATGAGTAGTGGGGGGGGGGGGTATTTATAGTTTTCAGATCGCACCCTCCAGGGGCGATTCCGTAATTTTGCCTATTCCAAAACCGCACCAGGAGGGTGCGGTTCACGGCGTCTGAGGCGCTGACTGTTTGCCAGGCGCGCAGTCTTCGATCCCTGACGCGGATCGCTGCGCTGGCGTGCGGTTAGCCGTTGGATCGCCGCCTCATCCAACGGTGCTGGGGACCGCCGTCTCGGGAACACGGACCGCACGCTGACAGTGCGGTTTTGGGGCTGCCCTAGCGTGGACCGCTCCCTCGTTGTGCTATTTGCACATAAAACGCACCTTTAAGGTGCGCTTTAAGATGAAAGGTGCTACTTTTGGAATTTGTGTGGGTTGGGTGCTATTTTTGTAATTTTTTTTAAAAATGTGCTATTATTGTAAAAATCCCGTGGAGTTGGACGGAGGCTAATGAGGAGTGACTAAATGTGACCTGTTTTAGTAATTCGAGTGACCGAAATTGATATTAATTTTTCTAGTCACTAAACATAACACGATTTAGTAATCCCAGTGACCAAATGTGGCATTTACCCGGTAGAATTAGTCTGATGTGATGATGTATTATATGATCATAAATAATCAATCCATTACTCTAACCCCATTAGTCTGATGTGATGATATAATATATGATCAAATAAAGCTTTGACTACATTGAACACAATCCCAAATTATAAATCCTAACCATAAATATCTAAACTCTAAAACCTTCAAATTAAAGTAAATCTTGAATAATTTTTTGTAAAAATTCATGTATTTTCTTGACAATCGTCATATCTCAAGTGACAACTGAGATCATTTTGACATGAATCATCTGCTCAAAATGGCAATTATGAAGCGAGTGTATTGAATGCACACAAAAAAGTGAGTGCACGGAAGACAAAATCATATATACATATGTGCAATGCAATCAAAATATTGATTTTATGTAAAATCAAAAATTGAGGTAAAATCAAAATCATAGATTATATTCATAAAATTATAAGATTTTAAGGTTCATATTAAAATGAACACTTAAAACACCATATAGTAATAGAAAAGCTTATCCTGAATATCAGTCAACCACATATTACTTCCCAAGATAAGTTTGTTTGATAAATAAACACAACTAAATCCATAGACTTATTCTTGTATACATAACATAAAACACAAATAAGCAACCTGAAACCTCATAGAAATCACTTAACTAATAGTTAAAATTGGAAAATCACATAAGATCGTTAGAATCACCATTAACATCCCTTATACATCATCACCCTTACTCTCATCCTTATAGAATCCTTTTCTATTTGCTTGAGGAATGATATCATTATTCTCAAGATCACTTGAAGTACTTTCACCATTAACTATATTTCCTTGATCACCATCATCTGGCAAAGGTAACTCATTGTTTGATGCATTCCCTTCTTATTTGATAAAAGGTCGAGGTATATAGTGGTGCTGAAGGATTGGGAAATGAACGAAAGCTTGCAATGGAATGGAGATTTGGATAATTGTGAGGGTGGTGGGAATGAACTACAAGCTAATTGGGAGGGTGGAAGAAATAGTTCATGGAATGAGTTGGGCGTCGACGTGCGAAAGAGGAAGATACAAGGAAGAGAATGAAAATAAATTGAGGCTCGTCTATTGGCTTCAAGTTTTGTTGTTCATTATGTATTATGTTGTGTTAGGGGAAGTAAACTCGACCGGGTTCATGGGAAAAACCCGACTTGACCGACCTAATTTTGCTCAAATTGAAATGACCTTTAAAATCGTACAAAATCGTATATTTTAAGCATTTTAGAGTTTTATATTAGGATTTTAAGGTTCAAATATTTTATAGTAAAATCAGGATCGGAAGGTAAGATCGTAAAATCGTAAGATTGTAAGATTAAAATCGGGATTATAGCTTTCTCTCCCCTCCTTGTTTTCTCTTAAACACTTTCACGACGAGGCTTCCAAAGCCTCCATTGCCGACGTTGCTCTTATGTATCGTTCTTTGGCATAGCAAAAGATCATAATTTGGAGTATGTGAAGCTGAATCTGGTCGATTTGGGTAACACTTATCAATTTTCCTTGGCAATTTCTTTTGAAGGATGGCATGGGACGGGCATCTAGCCTGATTGGAAATCCGCTATGTATAGATCAACCGCCTCGGAAGGGATTGAAGCTTGGTTATGTTAAAGCCTGTGTTGAGATAGAAGTTGATGTGTTACTAGTTGATTAAGTTAGAGTATCCATTGGTGGTAGAAAGTCATCAATATAAAGGTGGAGTATAGTCTTATGCCAGTTTGTTGCAAGGATTGTGGTCAATATGGGCATGATTGTGCTTCTCCCAAAGGTGAGACGAAGAAGATCTGGGTTAGGAAGGATTCGAATGTAATATCTCTTTATGCAAGTTATATTATGAAGTTTGTGTCTCATAAGGGAAAGGGGATTACTAAGTTAATATCTCCATGTCACAGTTGGATGCGCTTATTTGCATGAGTTTTATGAAAATTTATTTATAGTGTTTTTCAATGCCATTCTTATACATTTTCCCCTTCTATTAATGCATTTTTAATCATTTCAATTATATTTCTGGTCTAAATGACAACTATTTGACCAATGGGCTTTTAATAGACATATGCAATGTTTTTACTCTTTGATGCCTTCTTGGTACATTTTTAATGATTTTAAAGGTACAAAGCAACCTAAAGAAGATTGGATTAAGCATTGAAGGACTCTAGATGACCATATGAGCTATAAAGATAAGACAAAGGAGCTTTCATGAGAAAGAAGTGGTCCAATGATGTAGAGATCAACTAGAAGTTGCTACACTATCTCAACAAGCCATAGGAGGAAGACTCGGTCCACGAAGTCCATGGACCAGGAAGCCCAACCCACAAAGAAACTGAGTTGCGGGTCCAACAACCGTCCTACCACTGCCTCTCCCTTGCCTTGCTGACGAAGTTTACTTAGCCTACCAGGTTTATGATGTTTTAGGCTTGGATTTTACCTTATAAATAGAGAGCAGGACTCCAGTAGCTTACTAAGGTTGCACAAACACACAAATTTTCTATAATACTCTACTCGAGTGCTTAGCCTAGTCAAAGTAGGGGGTCTACAGCTATGGAGATATCGTCATCATCAATGGTGGTACCTTATTTCTCCTCTATGTAGCTAGTTGAAATTGATTGTATTATGATGTGATATTGTTTATTATTATTTGAATGAATTCTATGATTTCATCTCAAGCTTGTGTTTGTCTATGTTGTTTTCTATTTAATTGCCTATGTGTAGATGTTTGATACTTATGTGATGGTCATTGATGGTTCTATAGTATGAATGATCTTGTATCATCAATACTTTTGATTCTATTGTATGCTATTTTATGCATTGTGCTTAGTATCATCTAGGCTGTCAAGAAATTACCATCTAGGGATACTTCATTGATGCTACACAAGTACGGATGGAATGATCAACCATGTATTGTTCAAGTAGTATCAATGCTTGATTGTTGATCATTGATGCTATAGGCTACAGTTATGTTTTGTAGAAGCCCACAATTTAGCTATATGTTATCCTAACTTCCTTGTCTGTTATTGATTAGGTAATGGCATGAAGAAAAAGCATGCATTAGCTAGTTAAATCTCTATCGCAAGAGGCGCATGCACTGGTAGAGAGTGGCCTCAGAGGAAAGGATAATGTGTTACAATAGATGAACCATCGATGCATGATATGAATGATCCCTGATATGCATGATAGTTTTCGAGTTCACTACCTTCTATAATGTATCTTTACTTTTATGCATCTATAAATCGTAAACCCCTAAACAACTTTACTCTTCTTGCTTTCCTTGTTTGTTGAGTGAAAACCCCCTAAATTTCTTTCATATTTTGTGTATGTTATGGATGGTTGGTGTGAGTAGTTATGCATTAGAAGACCCCAAGGAATACGACCCTAGGCCCTCCTAGGATTTTTTCACTTGTTTGTTAATTAACTTTTTGGCGCCGTTGTCGGGGATTTCTAATCATATATAAAACTAACCATCTTATATTTAGTATTGAGTCTTATTTATTTTGTAGGTTTTCATATCAGTCCAGTAGCTCTAGAAAAAAAAAAAATAAAACCCTAAAGATTGTGGAAGAGCTAGTACAAGGAGGAGGAGCATCAAGTTCACCATCTTGAAGAGGAAGGAAGGATCAACTAGCTCATGAGAAGAAGATCCCTCTAGCCCCACCAATTTCAAGCAATCCTTGGAAAAGGAGGACAACATAGACGAAGACAACTTTGATTCAGAGGAAGATGGAGCATCTTCAACTTCTTCAACACCAATGTTGGCTGGAGAAGAAGGACAAAGACAAGTAGTCTTTCCACCAACTCTTTATGAGGATTCAAGGCCAAGAGCATCCAAAATCACCTCAAACATAGTGGTGCCACCAACGACCCTAGAAATTAGAACTCAACTCATCCAGATGGTGCAACAAGCACAAAGATTTGGAGGAAGGAATGACGAAGATGCGATGCAACACTTGAAGATATTCTTAGAGATCGTCTATTCCATACCAGGAGATGATGCTACCAAAGATGATACTAAGAAAAATGAATATAGTAACATATCATAGATTCATACGCATAGATTCATACGCATATCATTATAAAAATAGATTATTCAAGCATTCACTCAATACAGCATTAAGGATTGGAAGAAAGAAATGCATGTTAAATGCACTTATAATGGAGTTCCATTATCCGAAAGGGAATTCCCAAAAAAACTGGCTAACAGAGGGTATTCAAATAAAGATACTATTTCCATTTCGTCTGAAGCCTTGGCACAGATCAAAGATCAAATTTTCTCATAAAAATCCAATCAAAAAGAAAGGCCAAAAAACATATTTTTGTTTTTTAACAGTTTGGGGGCTAGAAACGGAACTCCCCTTTGGTAAAGTAACAACCATCAAAGCTCATCTCATAGAACGAAATAGCATATCATTGATTCATTGATAGCTACATGAATATCAAAATCACATCCCTAAACAGATCGAAATAAAAAAGCATAGGAGAATAGGAAGACATCCCCAAAGATGAAGAACATCCATGGTGAGGCATCCTAGTCAAGCTCTAGAAAGGCTTCATCTACTTTCTATGGATTTCTAACTCGTGCCCCTGCGGCAGAGTGCTAGTAAAAGGTATGTATGAAACCTCTAGCACAACCTTCTATTAATACTAATTACAAAAGGGATTTTTTTAGTCTTTTTCCTCCAAAATTTGGCCATTAACTTCCTTGTACGACTTGAACATGGATTCCGTCGACTTGGGGATTAATTATGTTGGTTCTAGAGCTTCTGGAAAGCTAAGGCAAGAGAGGGGGGTGAAACAGATATTGGGCCTCCGCTCTATTACTTTGTGAGGGCACAAGTGGGAACGCTCTACAAATTGGAGGAGTTACTTTGCCCACAAGCTGTGCAATAACAATTTGAACCACCACCCGTGCCCTAGGTTTCCAGAAGCTTCTGAAACCAGCCTACTTCGTCCATAAGTCAAACGAATTCGAGTTCAGTTGTACAATGAAGGTTTTGGCCAACTTTAGGAGGAAAAATACTAGAAAATCCTCTTCTGTAACTAGTATAAATAAGAGTCTAGGATATATCTTTTACACACACCTTTTACTAGCACTCTAACCTAGGGGCTGGAGTAGAAATCCATTATAAAGAGGCGAAGCCCTGCAAGAGCTCGACTAGGAAGCATTCACCATCGATGCATGTGTCAATGGTGATGGTGTTCTACTTCTCGATAGTGTGCTAGTCTATTTGTTTAGGGACATGAATTCTTTGATTCTTTATGCATCTATTTCTATGATTTAATGACGTGTATGTTGTATTTATTATCTTTATCATCAATGCTTGATGTCAATCTATACTTGTATCATCTATTGCTAGAGTTATTCGTGTTATTGTTAATTGATGCTTTTGAATCTATTATGAATGTTACTATATGCATCGTTTGTACTACTATTATGAGAGACAATGAATACTAATCTCGTGTAGTAGGCATCCTCTTTGGACGTGTATGGGAGGATTAGCTACACACCCATACATGAATGAGGATGATGCTTGATAATTTAGATCATCGATGTTATATACCATCGATTATGGCGTAAAGCGGCCCACATTTAATCATGTGCTATCCTAACTTCATTATTCTTCATTAATTAAGTGATGGCATGAAGCGAAAGCATGCATTACTAATCAAATTCCTATCGCAAGAGATGCATGCACGGAAGGGGAATGGCCTTAGACGAATAGAAGCATTTTGTTAATGCGAATGAATGCATGATCATCTAGAATCACTACCTAAACATTAGTTTCATTTCATTGTTTTGTTTCTTTCCTTGCATTAGTAGTTTAGTACTCTAATAGGGCACCTCAACCCACATCATATTTACTTTCTTGCACTAATCGTTTGAACAAATCTAGTTAGGTTTGAGTACTTCTATCAAAATACCTCTTGGAATATGACCCTAGGACATTCTAGGATTTTACACTTGTTTCTGCAGACAAGTGTTTGACACCGTTGTCAGGGACTTTTGATAGTAATTGAAAGAAACTAAACTCTTGTGTTTGATTTACTTTGGAAAGCTATTACCTCCTTTTTGTTTTTGTTTTGTGGGAATCGAACTTGAGGGAAGTATTGCAAGGAATCCAAGGACGAAAATAATTGAAGATTCACTTGAAGAAAGATGGGTTTCCTATCTCTATTCGAGTAATTTGGGCCAAAAGCATCAAAGGTCAAAGCAAGCAACCCCAATCCTCTTCCACTACTTTCCCATCAACAAAGGATTCCTAACGAGTGGAATAGAAAGGGATCGGATCCAGAAGATGCAAGAGATGGTCAAATCATTGAGGAGAATCCCAAAACCGACATAGGAAGTTTCAATGAGATGCATGAAGGTTTTGGAGAGATAAAGGAGAACAGAGGGATTATGAAGCATGAAGAATTTGTGGGCCATAGAGAAGAGGAAGATCATCTCAATGCCTACCATTAGACTAAGAAGAAGATGTAGAGATCGTGAAGTCCATGGTCAAGCTTCTTCAACCTATCCAAGAAGAGAAGGATGATCAACCTATCAAGGAGCCTCAAAAAGAAGATCATCTCAAGACCAACGAATTTTATAAGGAAGAAGATGATCTTACAACTTCTGAAGAAGGATGGGACGAGATACAACCCCTATGAGTAGCAATGGAGGAAGAAGGCTATAGTGTTTAAGAACTTACACTAATCCAAACCTTTTTGGATTCATGGGAATATGTTGAAATCTTTACACCTCTCGAGGGCTTTGAACACTTCCTACACCTTCTTCAATCTGAATCCAGGAGTAATCCACCTACAAGGCATCCACCATTTGAAGCATCGAGGAGGAAGATTTCAAGTATGATGACCCCCATGCACTTCTTATTCGAATTTCAACAAAACCCTTGGAACCAAGCATTGAACGAGAGATTGTGGAGGAGAATTTGAACAAGGTTGATCAACCTAAAATAAAGAAAGAAGGAGAGGAGCACTAGAAGAGCAACCATTTCAACCTATGCATTCGAAGGAGGAGCTTTGAGAGGAACCACCTATCAGAATTGTTGATGTTCAAACCAACATGGAATCCAGGATAGAAGAGAAGAAATATGCCACCGACATCCAAGATATCATGGAGGAGTTCATCAATGAATAAATATAATCTAGCTCGATAGAGGAGACTTCAAGCCACACCCATCAAAAGTTCAACTCGATTTGGGAGGAAGTAATTGACAGAGATTCCAGCTTCGATCTTGGAAAAGAAAGAACATCTACATCATCCTCTACAACAATGGAAGAAGAGGAGTAGCAATCCCACCTAGTCTAAGCAGTAATGCTCTATGCATAGAAGAACCAAGCCTTGAAGTGAATAAACCCCTTCAAGATCCCCTTACATCATCTACTCAAGGATATGCACAAACCTTGAAAAACAAGAACTTCGAGGAGGTAAGGGTAGAGCATGAAGAATTCATCATTTACAAGGGCACTCTTTGTGAAAATATAGAGGAAGATATTCACGAATTTGGACTTCAAGAAGCCCTAAGTTGGGGAGCTTGAAGGATGAGGAGCAATGCCTAGCTTAAAGGCATGAAAGAAAGAGCGCTTCATGGGAGGCAACCCATGTCTGGCATCCAACTTAAGGATGCAAAATAAAAGTGCTACCGAGGAGACAACCCAGATTCTCCGACTTTTATGATTTATTTTCATATTCATGTTGAGGAGGGGAAGCACTTGCTCTCTCTATTTTGTGCCTTTGCGGTTGTTTTTTTTTTTTTTTAAATCCATAGCAAAGTAAAGCGGAGAGGCGAAGAAATGGAGATCTAATGGTGTCAAAACCCTCACATATGAAGAATCCTTCAAGAGCAAGGAAAACCAACTCGGAAACGAAGGGGGGAAAAAGGATGTTTTTGTTCCCGCCGCTAAAAAAAGGCTCTGCTCGATGCTAAATTTCCATCTCCAACACAAAGGAGGATTCAAGACAATCTGCCTCTCACAAGAAAAGGATGGCAGGTCCAACCAAGAAGGAGAGAAGAAGACTTGGAGGACGCCATTAATGCCTGCTTAAGCCCATATAATGGAGAAATCTCATGCCATGAAGGAGAACAAAGACGATGACACCACTCGACAAAGGAGATGACCATCTTTGAAGATATTGATAGATGCTTTGGGAAGAGAAAAGAGTGTCATGCCAATATTGGAGAGAATTGATGCTATGGAAAGCCCAAGGGAGAAGCTCGAACAACTTTTGGAGAAGCTGAAGATTGACAAGACTGGCATCTATTCAACTCTTTATGGACATAAAGAACTCGTTATAGTATAATGAAGAAAAGGAGGATCATGGTCAATGCACAATCAATTGTCTCCCAGATGACCATTATCCAGAACAAGGATTGGTGGATCTTGGTTCTAACATCAACATCCTACCACTTCTGCTCCATGAAAAAATGGGTCTAACCGACATGGAGGAGATTTAAATGAAGATCAAGATGGAAGAAAACACTCCATGGAAATTAATTGGATTAGTTCAAGGACTAATCACCCAAATCGGGTCATTCATCTTCTTTCTAAACTATGTGGTGATCAAGGTGGAGATACAGAACCCATACTCCTTGTTCTTTGGTAGACCATTTCTGGCCACTGCCAATTCCATGATCAATGCAGCGAAAGGAGAAATTACACTACAAGTGGGAGAGATCATGCATCGAGTAGTGTGGCCTATTGAAGATAAGGATGCAAATTAACCCACAGATGATGATGATTTCGAGGAGAATGAAGAGACGGAGCCAAAGATAGAGATCGAGATTAGATCGAGATCTTCATATTGAAGCATTCGCTCTCTCCATTATCTATTTTTGTTTGTAACTTAAACCCTATATAAAAAATTAATTGACAAATGAAGTAACCCTTTTTCAACTTTTCCATAGCTCACTATCTTTTAGTCGATTGAGGACAATTTCAAAGTGTGGGGGTGGAATTGGGTGCTAAATGTTACTTGATTATACTTCATACATGACATATTCTCCATATAATGACTTTTAGCCATCCCCCTTCAAGCAGGTTCATTGCTCATCTTGCTTTGTATCAATGAGTCTAGGGAATTTCATTCCCATCGAGGATAGTACAGTGACTATGGAGGATGAGATATTCAATGAGATATAATGACCATTATGTGTTTGAATACTATGTTCTTTAGTTCATTTGTAGATTTCTAATTATACAAAGGCATCTTTTTTATAAAAAAAAATCATAAGGCGAACTGTATCATCTATAAAAGGAAAAAATTACCAATCAAGAT